CATGGTGGATATTAAACCCAATCCTTAAAACACTGAAAATGATTGCTTTCTTAAGACTTAAATATTTATCCCATTTTACCTTTGTCAGGCAACTCAGCTGCCTTTGACACAGACTATCAGTCCATTTTGAAAGTATGTTAAAGGGTGATCTTAACCGTGCTTTGGTTGGTGCATTGATGCATGTCTAAATGTGAAGGGAAATACACAGTTTAACATCGCTGAAGATTCAGATTTGGTCTAAATATACATTGGAATTTGCATGTGTATAATAGAGCCCAACGGACATGCAAATAACAATATTAGGCAGTGAAAAAATACCAGTACCGATATATTAACTGATTCCCAAATGAATCCTTCTGAAAATCTAAAACTGTTAAGTTCTCAATTTAAGCATCTCTTGTTTCTGCCTTGAAGGAAAACAAAAGACACAACTTGGCAATGAATGGACATATATATATATAACTGTCTACAAGTAACTGAATGAATAAGGGATGAATCATGAACGTATGAAAACGAGGTTGGAATCAAAGAGAGGAAGGAATTCGATTTTTGAATGAACAAAATGAACAGTTTCTTAGTTCGGCAAAAATGGCATGAAGTGTGCTATTTAGAATTACGAGAGACGATGGAACGCAGTAAATTAATAATTTCTCTCATGACTGTAAGTAATAATTCAGAGCTCTATCTGACATCAATTACTATCATAGACAGCAGGAGTGAAGTTTTCTGACTTTCACAGCTGAATCATTTTTGTTGGATTCCAGGAGGGTCAGTTGTTTGTGGTCTACTGGTGTCTCTACTTCCCCAGAGATAGATAAAGGACCAATCATCAGTGCATTGTAGTGTCTACGCTCATGGACACTCATATCTAACTCAGATGCCCCAGACAGAGAGACACCAACTTCAACTCTATTGCGTATTACACCAGTGGAAAGACATAAGGACACAATGTGGTTTAGGAATGGATATTTAGACTTAACTATGCAAAAGGATGCAAACACCTACATGTAACAGTGACCGTTTGTATATTGTTCCACCTTCTGGTCTCCTTGATGCATCAAGTCTACATTAAAGTCTTCTGCATAAAACATCAGCTGCTGCCTGAGTTCTCCTTTCACCAGCTTCCAGATAACATCCATAACAAGAGTCAGCAAGATGGATCTTGCGAATTTGAGGCTAACGTTGGTTCTTTGCAAACAGTTCTGAATTGTTATGATGCAGCTTCATTTGGATATTTGCTTTTGCAACGGTTGGATCAGATAAACTCGCTGAATAATCTTTTTTTTTTTCATCAATGTGACAAATAAAATGTGTAAATACAATCAAGCAAGGCTTCCTGAAGAACCAAAAATGGAGCTAAGTAAGGTTGATATTGTGTTCAGCTCCAAACTGAGCTTTGTTTCCATAAAAGATTAAAAAGGGAAAGAGCTTGGTGTAGAGGAAAAGAAAAAAGCACAAGCCCTCAGGCAAAATGAACTCAGCAAACAATGAGAAAAACAAAAAGTAGATACCATAGTGTGGTATGTCTTACAGCCATACACATCACATATTAAAAAACCATAATTACAGACATACTCTCTCTTTATATAAGGGCTTTAACTATGGTACCTACTGTCTCTGTGTGGCAGTAGATATATGTTAACATGGCATTAAATGTACGTCTTGGTCATTTTATATTGAAGATAACGTGGGGCTGACAATGACTTTCATCAAAAACATTTTCTGAAAAATAGTACCTGATAGCTGAATCACACTTAAATTAGAGGAAAATGAGTAGGAGATCTGTAATGTTTCTGGAAATTACTGCAGAAATCTATTGAATTGCTTATTCTTTTTTGTGTTAGAAGAAGAGTTGGGATTACGAGCATAATTTAATTTAGATTATTTTCGTTTGTTTAATTTAATCTTTGGTTTGGATCAATGTATTTCATCTTGTCTGTCTGGTGAAATTCACAGCCAGGTTAAGCTCAAATGTTCTAATGTGTTAGTGTCCTGCTGTAAATTTCAATGTCAGGTGATAATATCAGTATCTCCAGGTTGGAGGATGGTAGTACCTCCCCTGGCCTGTATGTTAAATCCTGGCTCTTGTATTGTGGGAGGTGGGAAGGTCTTTTGGAAAATGAATGCAACCCACTATGTCCATTAGTGGAGTCTAAAAAGTGAATTCAGAGACAGAGGAAGGCTGCAATTCAACCTTTGGAGTCTGAAAATAAAGAGCCCTAACTACAGTTTTCTCACCATCCCTCTCTGTGATTTTACACTTTATGTGCTGTATGTGTTCCTCTATAACTGACAGGCACATAGAAGGAGAGACATGCAGTCATTTTAAAGACACTGTGTGAAGGTGACAGAGAAAGTGGTGCGAGACAGACACATCAGCAATGTCCTGTCCCTGCTGACCCTGTGCTGCAAACACTAATGCAATGAAACACTGAGCTGAGGTCAAAAACATCAGACTGCCTCTTTCCCACCATCCTCTTCTATCCTCCCACTGTCTTAACACATACCCCATCTACTACTAATGTTCCAATATAATATACCCGGCCAGCGTAATGGCTGAAAATGAATATCAAAGCCTCAGAGCAAGAGCTAATCAATTTTCTTGTGCCTTTTATGGAAGGTTGCTAGCTCTCTATAATAGAGGTCCTCAATTCACAGAGAGTTTTGTTTAAAATACTGAAAATAATGAGCTGCAGAATTAACTACTATAAATCCTGGCAATGTAATGGATTGGTGAACTCAAAGGAAACATACATCTTTAACAAACACAGAGATACACTAAAGAACTTCATTAAAAATCTGATTTTGCAACTTGTGATTTTAGGGTTATTTGTAAATCCAGAGTCCAAACATCTCCCTGTTGTGCACAGACATGGACCTGACCCTTTGTCAAAATAACCACCATCTGATAAGTGCTGATGGGTAATTTTAAAAAAAGATGAGAGGCCACTGTTCCCCAAAACAGATGCTATGTCGACAGCTGGGCGAAAAACAATCCTGCAACACGAGATAAAAGCTATCTGTGATCTCATTAGAGGTGGTAATGTCAAGCTACCGAGGTAGAAAATGGCTCTGCCCCAACTCTGATGACAGGGCACTTATGGAGTAAGATACAGTAAGAATGCTGAGTCATTTGTTATGGCTTTGCTGGGGCGTGCTAGAGCTCAGATGGTGGAAGGACTTAACTTTGTAATTTCTTTCCTTTCTACAACACAAAAAAGATACACGGACACTTAATTGGACCTACACTTGCACTTCATTGCACGCAATCTTCTCACTAAAGTGACAACTTACACACAATATAACAGGATGAGTTTCTTTTCATACGGAGACAGCGACACTCATACACACATGCTCTTTCCATAGGCATGTTTCTAGTGAGTCACAAATGCAAACAGACAGGCCTGCATATACACACACACACACACACACACTATCTTTCTCTGATATTCTCACTCACACACATACACACACTCTGGCTATCCATTTGAATGCAGTGAGTGTATCCTCCCCTGCCTCTGGCTGACAGAGCAGCTGACAGGATCGTCGAACAGCACCAAGGTTAGTCCAGAACATGACCACTGCACAGGGGCGTGCTTTGATAAAAACCTGCACAAAGCATCATGGTCCACAAGCGTCTTCAGTGACAGCTTGGATCTCTAAAAGCAATCCAGGTCGTATTTACAAATGCAATTGTAACTAAATGGGAATTAGACAATCAGAAAATCAGTGTCGGTCATTAACACCAAGCTACGAGTGAATGTGAAATGTCACCAGGCGCTAGCGTGCGAGTTCACTCTGTGTGCATACATTAACTTCCAGGGAACAGCGGGTCATTGATTTGCGCTAATAATCACCGGCACGTACACAATTCCTTGACAGCCGTGTGGAATTTAAATTAGCGAGACACGATCAGGGTGTCATGTCACTGCAAGCCGACAAAAACCTCGGAAAGAATCAAGGCGTGAAATGTCTCTTCCTGGTGTGTATGTTGCAGAGAAAGTGCATGTGTTAAATAAACTGTAACTCAATGTGAGGAGAGAAATCCTCATTAATTTTTGAAGTGACTTCTTTTTTACTGAGGTGCTTCTGTCGCTGGGCAGAAGATACTTCACAAAGAACTTTAAGACATTTATACAAGACAATCACAGCTACCGTTCTCCTCCCTGTGACATGCTTAGATTTAGAAGCTAAACACAGTTGTGCTTAAGCACTTCAGTAAAGAGAAAGACGTAAAGAGATCACAGCAGGCCTCATACTTGAAATGGTTGTATACACAGTATGCACAAGTTGACATTCACCTCTTCTGGCTTCATATTGCTCATATAAGAAACCATTCCTTACTAATATACTATGTTATTTTTTAAATCTCCATTCAAGAGCTTGGTCTTTCAGTTTGAGAGCAGAACTTCCACTTTAAACCCTGCACTCGCACTCAACTAGCCCCAACACGACAATTTCCCTTAATAACTTGACACCTTCGATTGGAATTTTAGCTTCTTGCTGAGAAAATCTAAGGACAGACAAAAAGTCCAAGAGCAGATGTTTCATGCATGCACAGAGGCAGCGTGAGCTCGAAAAAGAGCGGGAACTGGAGCGCAGGAAATTTGTCCAGGTGACAAAATATCTGGGTTGAGGGCCAGTACAGGGTTTTTGCATTAAAGCTTTAAAAATCTGAACAGGACCACACCCTTGAATAAAGCAAAAACTACCAAAATATACACAAGACCCTATACAGAAATGGACATTGAGAAAATGCTGCTCAAACAGCAACATTTTCTTCAGTGTTCCTGCATTTTCTACAAAAATTTCTAAGAAAAAGCATTTGTTTAATAAAGTTAACCATCATCGTGTCGATTACACAACACAAAACTGCAGAGTTGTGACAGATAAGAGGGAAATAGATGGATGGTACGTGAAAGAAGAGAAAAGGACATCAAGCTTAAGTGGCAGAGCTGTGAGTATTTTGTGGATGGATGGAGGGAAGGGAGATGACTCACCATCGATCCTGCTGACCAGCTCCTCCAGGGCCTTGACTTTCCTCTGGATCCCTGGTTGGGCAAATGTGTAGTTGTCCTGAGGAGAAAAAAACAGAAGGAGTCAATGCGGACGTACCCTCCATCTAAATCAATGGTCTGTCATACAGTGTGTATGCTGAGTATCACAGTTAATGAATGAATGTGTGAAATAGGCTTCAAACATGATCTAGGTATAATTACAAGGAAGAATAACGAGCACAGAGGTGGGACAAGTTAACATATAATGAAGCAGATATTCAATGAAATTATTATTAGTTATATAGTTTATTGTTTTTTAGACAAGCTGTGAATTGGATATCTTTCAGAAAACCAACACATTTTATTTCACCTTGACATTTTGCAGCTATTTTGGCCGAGGAGTCACCGTATCAAAGCACGCACTTGAAGGGGTTATACATTTCAGTTTCATTTCGAGGATTCATCGTTAGAAAAAAGCGCAATAGCGATTGCAAATCTGAAGTGTTTACCAGGCCTCATTTCACATCTCACACAAAAAGCCTGAGCCATCTTAAAAAGAAAAAAAAGAAGTAAACAGAGAAAAGAGGCCATCTCACCAATACGTGTGGCCTTTAAGACAAAGTGGGCTGCCTGTGAATGTGCTGCTAAAAAAATAACAGGTGAGCTGTGAATAAATCCTGGCCTTGTAGTTTGAAAAAAGGCCAGCAGGTTAGCAAAATGTGAACCTGAGATGAAAGGACAGATGCAGGGAGATGGACAACAGGCCTGGAAATGGTTGCCTTCAGTCGTTACTCTGATAAGATGTGTCACCTTTCTGCTAAGAGATCTCATTTGTGACACCTCACAATTAAAATTTGTTCATTTCTGTGCAAGTAATCACATCAAATAAATATTGACCTTCTTATAGTCCTGGTAATCCTGGGAGAGAAAATATGCAACACGTTCATATTTGAAAAAATAAATAAAACCTTTGGTCAGGAAGTGAAACTGTTAAAAGCTTCTCAGATAAATGAGAGCAAGTTGCGTGAAATATTAAAATGATATACTATATAATGTGTGCTGTATATAAATGCAAGCATATATCTCTTCTCTGTTTTAGAAAACCATACATTTTAAATTAAGATGTATGATATGATACTGTATCTTAAGATGATTTACAAATCAATTTTGATCTTTTTTAGGATAATGAACAGTGTGGACACTGTCGGTTCGTTGAACTTGCAGAATATGATACATGTGAGACTATACATAAGCATTTTGTGTGTGTATAACCAAACACACACACACGAAGATTGAGTTTCCTTGAGGGGTCATTTCGGTGTGGCTGGAGAACAGCTGATGTGGCAAACTAACCAACAGATGGGGAGAGGGAGGGAGAGAGGAGGAGAGAAAATGAGGAGACAGAGAGGAGAAAGAAGGAAAGAGAGAGGGAAGGGGAGAGGGAGAGAGAGAGTAAAAGAGAGAGTCATTTAGCAATAAACAGTTGTCCTTCAGGCTCAGCAGAACCAAGGTATGTGTGTCCTCCTGAGTCCATCAGCAAAGAAACTGCATTCTCACCTGCCTTTTCATTTCCTCAGAGCAAAACATCTTTCCATCCCTCCATCGTCCCAAAATGCAACTTAAACTCTTCTTCCCATTTCCTCTCATTCACCCAAGTTTGTCCCTTGGTCACCATTGTCTTTACATGTCCTCTTTGAATTCCCTCTCAGTGTTTTCATTACCTGAGATACTTGAACTTCACTTAATATTTTTGCTTATTTTTTCATTATTATATTGTTGTGTTCCGCTCATAGCTTCTTTGTCTCTCTGGTTCTCTCTCTTTCTACCAGTCCAGTGTTAATGTGGTTTTGTAATTAGTGAGTGTGAGGGCCAGAACAAGTAATTACATTAGCATTATTGAAGCTGCTGGCTTTAATCAACTGCTCTTCCTTTCCTTCTCTCTGTGTAACCCATTTCAGGCAGATTGTTAAAGGCTGGAATGTTGAGCCTTTATTCCATCTCAAAGTTTTTTAATAAAAGGCACAAACACAGATTCTTGAGGGTTTGACTACTTCTGCTGCCTTCATGCCGACACAGGAGGTTGTCAATTTCTAAAATGATTGCTCATACAGAAAACAGGAGGGGCTGAATGAATCGAGCCACATGCAGATCTACTAGGAAGATAGACTTTAGCAATTTAAGAAACTGTATCAGGACGAATTTGGGTGCGTTCAGCCCTGACCACTTCTGATGACATCACTCAGGACAAATGTTAATATCAGGTTCCTCTTGTTCATATAATTTATTTATTCAACTTGTAATTACCTTGCTCCACATTACTAGTGATAAAATTCTGCAACGAGATCAGTCTTTATCACAGTCACTCATATTTCTATTCGACCATAAGCTACTGAGCAACTTTCTGCTTTTAGTTAAATAAAGTGAAGAAGACACTTTTCTTTCTGCTCTAGTTATTTAATCGCGAGCAAATGCATTAAAAAAATAGCGATGAATTTTAGGGTCAAGAGGTTTTCAAACCTCCTCTGTGTGTGTACTTTTAGGAGCTTAATTTCTTTTCTTGCCCGTTTCCTTCCTGTTCCTCTATTTTTGCTGCATTCCTCACATATTCTCTTTTAAACCTGGCTCAGCTTCTTCTTCATCCGACTTCCTTACAAATCTCTTTAGTTTCTCCTGTTATCAATTCCTACCTCTTCCCCTCTCAACCCCCAGTTCTCCATTTCATTGTCTATTTTCATCAGTCTGGTGGCGCTAATGAGGCTAGATTTGACTAAGTGTTTTGAACGTGCTATAATGCCTCCTGTGCTTTGTTGTTCTCCCTGGCGTTTCATCGTGTTGTGTACTGTACTGCATTTTATTTTGTGACTGATGTTTGAATTGTTAGATGTCTGTGGTGAGGTATAAGGCACAATAGCAATTGTTGTTGCTTTATTTTCTTTGTCTGCATTCACATTCATCCCACTACTCAATATTTTCTCTTTTACCATTTTCTCAACTGCCTCTCCTCTTATTTCCTCATCCTCTCTGCTAGTCTTCTCCCCAATCCCTCTCCCTTTCTTTTTTTCACCCTCTCACCTCCTTTATTCATAATTTTTTGTCCCATTTTCTATTTTCTGGCTTTTTATGCCCGTTCCTCTTCCACTCACTTCCTCTCTTTGTCAAATCCAATATGTCGGATCTTTGATCAGCTGAGGCAACAGGAGGAAATCAACTCTCACTCCATTATTCATACATTCTCCCTCTTCTCCCACCATCTGTCCATCCACCGCATCTGACCCAGCAACTAAGTGGAACTGCCCAGGCTTCACCCACATGAATGAAAATGGCCACACAGCGCACAAACATGAAGTTTGCTTTTCTTTTTCTCAAGCAGGTGTCAACAGTCTCTCGTTCTCTCCTTCTTTGTTCTCCCCTTTCTCCCCTCTTCTCTCTCAGTCAGCTGAATCAATAGCTCCTCTTCACCTCTCACTCCGTTCTATTAGAGACAACAAAGGCTCCATGCTGCACTAAGATTGCCTTCTATTGAGGCACTGGATGTCTATCAACGAGTTGAACAGAAGCAACACAACAACGCTGCAAGGTTATGTGCATGTGTGAAAGATAGAGAGACAGAGAGACATAAGGACAGGGGAAAAGAGAGAGAGATGACAGGCTGAGATAAAGGTAGACAATAATGGACAGAGTGCTGTAGAGGAATAATGAAGGACGGGGCAATGATCTGTCAGTTTCAGGCATGGTTGTGAGTGTCTGAGGGAGAAAGAGAGAAAGCAGAAAGTGATTATATGAGCGAGATGACAGGTTGTGATAAGGTGTAGACAAAGGTGTAGAAAATTACAGTTGTTCAGGAGGTACAGGAAGATTGGCCAGATTTCTTTCTGTTGCTCTGAGTTAGTGGGAACATCTCTGGCCTGTAGCTTGAGGGCAGTAAACTTTAATAAATACAGGCAGCAGGAAAAGGGAGGAAGTTCATAGGATCCAGATACAACAGCATGATTTGTCCAACTAATGTGTCTCGAGCCATGTGACGCTATAATTGCAGTATTTTAAGCACGTTATGTCAGCATGCTAGCATGTTAACATTTACAAGTTAAAACAATAGACTGTATATCAAGATAGATGACATGACAGCTCCCCTGGTGGCTGGCAGTCAAGATGGCAGCATTTAGCTTCAGTTTTGTACAAAGCAAGGGAAAGGAGACATGTCGTCCATCTTTAGAAACAGTCTACTATTGAAATGTAACACAGGCTGGATTGAATGCTTTTAGTTTTTCGAAAATTTGGGCACTTTTGAGAAATTACATTAAAAAAAAGCTTCTGCCATCACAAACGTTTATCTCACTAACCACAACTGTTAAACACCAGTTAAGTATTCAGTTCATCACAGAATTGTTGAGATCCAGCAACCACCAGGTCAAATAAATCGATCACCCACTGTGCTGATAGTTGATGATGGATGGTAGCTGGTTCTGTGAATATACACTATATGTATGTTATTCCTACATCTGGCAGACAAACAGAAGGAGCTAGAAACGCTCATTCTAAGGCGAAAGACAAACTGTGAGAGAAAAAGATTTGAAGAACAGATGTAAAAGACTGATTAGAAACTACATCGGCTGGGGAAAAAATATCTGCTTTCTTTGGTTGCATAATTCAAGTTTCTGTAATTCCTAAACCCAATTACAGGAACTATGTTTCTCATAAATGTGACATTTAAGACATCAGGTCACTGCTAAAAGCAGAGTGTAACCAGGCTGCTCTTAACTTTACTCTATACCTTGTGAACAATTAAAACAGCAGAGAACGCACGACCAGACATAACTTTAAATGTCCGGATTATTTAGAAGTGCAAAGAAAAAAGCATTTCATCAATCACAAGGAAAAGCACGCAGTTAGGTAATAAGTACTTTGAGACTACCTCAGTCTGTGAATTGTGCTATAAAAAGAAACCTGCTTGGACTCATCTGATCCCTAACATGATCAACACTGTTTGTCTCTGTGTTAACAAGGTTTTCATCCAGCGCAACTTATTACATAGATGTCTCCAGGGTATCACACACTCCTAAAGTAGAGAACCGGCTGCAG